AGGTTTCCTGGCAGGAGGAGTTGGTACCTGCCCACTGCTAGGTGAAGCTTGGTCTTGGAACTCTGGTGGTGTCTAGAGGCTTATCTAGAGGTGTTTGTGGCTCAGGAAGTCTGCTGATGGGTGGGGCTGTTCACACCCATTATGCTTGGCCTAAGGCTTCTCAGCCCTCAAGCCAGCAGGCTGATGGGTGGGGCTGGGTCTTGGTGCTAATGATCCAATCAAGATGTTAGCCTCTAGGAAACCTCATGTAGATGAACACTCCTGGAATGTCTGCCACCAACTTTTATGTCCTCTGGGTGAGCTGCAGCCATCCTGTCTCCCCAGGAGAACTTCCAAAGCCAGCAGGCATGTCTGCTCAGGTTCCTATGCAATCACTGTCTCTGCCCCTGGACCTGGTGCATACGAGATCCCAAGCACACTTCCCAAGAGAATGAAGTATGTCTCCCCCAGTCCCATGGGGCTCCTGGAGTTAAGCCCCACTGGCCTTCAGAACACAGATGTCCTGGGATTTCCTCCCCCCAATGCCAGAACCCCTGGGGAGCCTGATATGGGGCTTAGAACTCTCATTCCCATGGAGGGGACCTCTGCAACTTAATTATCCTTCAGCTTGTGGGTCACCCGCCCAGCGTGTATGGGGCCCAACTATATCGCGAGTGCGCCCCTCCTGCCATCCTGCTGTGGCTCCCTGTTTATGTTTCCAGTTGAAGCGGGTCTTTTCTGCTAGGCTCGTCTTTTTTCTCAATGGCTGTTTAGCAGTCCGTTGTGGTTTTCTTGTAGGTGTGAGGAGGGGTGAGTTCTTGGTCCCACTGCTACACCATCTTGACTAGAAATGAACTTTTCTATATTAATGAACTTTTAAAAAGTGAACACACATGTGTCATAACCTAAATCCCAAACCTATCAACCACTCTGAAGCCTCCCTGGGTCCTGACCCAGTCAAATAACCTACCCACCCCAGAGTTAACTACTATTCTGACTTTGTGTTCATAGGTTAGTTTGGCTCATTTTTTAATTTAATAGAAACAGAATTACATATCTGCTTCCCCTTCCCCCCAGTGCTTTCATATGGCATTGTTTTTGTGAGATGTATCCTATTTTGTGTGTGGCATTATCTGTCTCATTTTCACTGAGGTTTAGGATAGTATCATATGAATACACTGCAGTTTACTTCTCTTCTACTGCTGATGCACATTGGATTATGTGCAGTTTGGGGCTCCTTAAATAATTCTGCTGTAGTAAATCTTGTGCATAGCATTCTCTGCACATAGCACACATTTCTTCCTATTAATTGTATACCTCCGAGTGGAACTACTTAGTCATTTTGTAAAAGGTCATTTTATTAAAGGTGAAAATATATACTTTCATCTCCCAAGATGAGTTCTTGGAGAGAAATGGACTTTGTGAAAATGTTCTAGCTCCAGTAGCTTTTAATGGAAGCTTGTGAGACCTTGCTGTCATTCACCAGCACAGAGTAGCATGTCACAATAACCTTGTCATAAGACAAGTGTCACATCCATTGTCTTATGAGATCCACATAATAAGTAGTTCAGGCATCTTTATCCCCATGATTCAAGCAATGAAATTGAGATGAACCAACTTAGTGGTGAGGCTCTCACGAGAACCAGACGACAGCTTGCTTACTGTGGGCTTGATATTGTGCAAGGTTCTTTACATGTTAGATTTCATTTAATCTTACGGTAGCCCCATGAGGTATATTCTCCATTATCATCCCCATTTCATAGATGAGAAACCTAGGGTTAATCAGGTTAAATAAATTGATCAAGATCACATGGCCATAACCCAGCAATGCACTTGGATTGTCAGGTCTTTAATCTCCAAGAAATATTTCTGTGAAAACTCTGTCATCTATTTTTGTATTATTTGTTCATTTCTGTTTTCAACAAACAAGATTTGAGCCCCTCCTTGAACCCCATGCTCATCATGAAACCTACCTACAGTGATTTCCTGGCCTTTTTTGTTTTACATGTGCTAGTTGAGAGAAAGTGATGTGCTGTGGCTTACTGTAAACCCCATCTACTTGGGGCTACACTTGTGTTACTGAAGGGATTTTTCTACACATCTTGTGTCTTTGTTGGCAGAGCTGACACCATTTTAGTAATGTGAATTCTAAATAGAGATGTTTACATTTGTGTTTAAAAGCTGAAAACAAGTATAGTTATATTAAAGGCATAACAATAATTATAGGAATCTCAGTAGTGTAAAGTTGAGTATGCATATCCAAAAACTCTTAAATAAACCATAGGATAATTAATCCTAGCTGCTGTAACAAATAATCCTTGAAATTTTAGTAGTTTAATATCATCTGCAATTTATGTCTTGCTCACATCATAATTCCTCATGTCTCAGTGGAGTTGGGGGTGGAACTCTGCCCCACATAGTCATTTAGGGACCCAGGAGGCTTTCTGTCATCAACACATGATTTTGAGGTCCTCCTGGCCTCATCAGTTGATAAGGAAAGGAAATAGATGGTTAGCATACTTCCTTTTTAACTGCCGAATCATGGGAGTGTTACCTCCCTTCAGCCCACATTGCGTTAGTAAGAACCAGCACATCCAGCTAAACTAGGTACAATAAGGCTAGGAAGTGTGGTTTGCTTGTTTGCCCAGAAAGAAATGTAAATGCATTTGATAGGGGTCTAGCCAGTCTCTACCAGAAACTTCCCTTCTAACAGCCAAATATCCTTTCCACTCTTCCTTGAACAAAGACCTACTCAGCCCTTCCCCAACGCAAACAGTCCAGAGTCCCATTCAAAATGGTATCCACCTGAAAGACCAGGATTTCCAGGTGAATCACAGTTCTCTTTTTCAGGTTTCAGTGTAGCTCCTCATTGTCTACTAATCGGTGAACTGAAAGAAAAGTTACTTCCTCACCTTACCCAATATGTGACGGTGAATTTGTATGAATACTCCTATACAGAAAGGAAACAATGAGGAAGCTATAGCAATCAGCAGTGCAGCTTTGAGACCCACTGAAAGTCCTTATAAAGACCCCCTACCTTCAAGTTGGGCATTTTTCTTAATTTGGCCATTAATATGCTCTTAAGGAGGAACTGCTTTATAAATATGTTGTTCCATGGAGTTCCTGGTTCCAGTGGTCTTGTTTCTTCACCACTGGCTTCAACTGATATGGGTTTTGGGGGGCGTGGGGTATGCCCATCTTTGAGGATGCACTCTTTTCTCCACCCACTTTCTGCCTGCAGGTAGGTGGTTCTAAGGCTGCAAGACAAGTCTCTAGCCTTTTTTATTTTTCTTTTTTTGTAGGGTTGTGGTTTCTTTGTCATCTTTGTCATTACAGCTCCTTCAAAAAGTTTTTAGGCTTCTGATCTGTTTGGTTCCAGCCAGTCCTATGTACCAGTAACTACAATTACAGAACATTAGTTTTTGTTGGGTTTTTTTTTATCTGTTTAATTGCAGCTGTCTGGTTATTATGAGGAGCAATAATCTCACGTTTGAAGATGACAACTCTAACGTGATATTTGCCAAGGAAATGAATCACTCTTTTCAACGAAGAATTCCCATGAAATCTTGCTTTATCATAGCATTTTTCAGCACTGAATCTTACTGTTTGAGTCCAGACGCAGAGAGTGAACCTTAGAGACCCTGAGTTTCTAGACTCTGTTCCCTTGGATTCCTTCTTTAAAAACCAGCCCATTCTGTCTTGAGCTCATCTTTTTCCCATAGTATCTTGTCAGCAGTAGCCAGTAGTAGCTGGCACTTCAACACTTCCTGTCCTCTCCTGCTATTCTCAGACTCTGCTGAGGACACCAGACTCGGGAGCCGATTGCCATACTTATAAACCACTGTAGGTGACAGCTTAGCAAATATTTTGTCACTTTACATAAAATGTGAGTTTCCCCCTCTCCAGCCTCTAGTATCAGTTCCTTGCCACCCAGAACCCGACCACTAAGCCCAAGACACTTTTAGCTTCTGGTCACCATAGCCTCACATTCTAAAGGCCAGAACTGGTGATGGTCCCATCTAGACTGGAGGTGGAGAGGAGTGAGGTTCAGCTGGTGCACGGCAAGCACGGGGAGCAGTGTTGGTGAGCGCCCAGCCAGGTTCTGCCGCCACGAAGAAGGAAGAGTTCTTAAGCTTTCTGATCATACCAGCTACTTCTAACAGTTATTTCTAGCAATTATTGAGAAGACAATCTGCCTCATTGAATTGGTAGCCTCTTAAGTTTTCTTTAATCTTATTTTATAAATTACAAAATTAAATAATCGACCTCATTGACCATGATTAAGGTAATTTGAAAATGACAATATCCGTATTTTTGGAGCTCCCATAATATGCTGATGTTCAACCATATTTATAACATTTCCTTAAGGGGTATTTCTCATATTTAAAAAATGTAATGTTCTGAAATGTTACATTGCATTTAAGTGTTTTAAGCCACAGGAATTACTTCATTAAAAAATTCTAGTGATTTTGTTTTAAGATTTCCCTATACTTTGATGAAATTCATGCATTTTAATATTTATATTTTGTGCTTCATTGATATAAATTATGTTTGCTTCTTCAGTTTCTACTGGAAATGTATGAAATGTTTTTTCTGCCTCAAATGTATGTTGACTTTATAATATGGATAAAAGATATATTAGAAAAGGGCCATTTAGATTCATTTTCCATTTTTCTTAAGCAAAAGCAATCTCAGTCTGGTTTGGTTTGGCTTTCCTTTGAAGTAGGTCTTCGAGTCAACCGTGAAATCTCTAATATTATACTGTATTAAAATTATTATCTGAAATTTAAAACAATTATGTGACACTATGTGAGTATACTCTGCTATCCAGAATTGTAAGTAATACAGTTAACATTAATGACCTAATTTGAGAGTTACAGGTATTAAATATATTTAATAGTATTATATATGTTAATAATTGAGTGTGTTTTCATGTATATCATGTGTATACATATATGTTAATAAAACTAATTTTGAGGAGTCATACAGGGTTCATCCTCTGTGTCCTGCTTGTTTTATAGCTATAAGAAATTGGCTGAGAATAAAGAAGCTGAATTTGTTAACCCTTTACCCCTTAAGATGAATCCAAATGTTATGATGTTATGTATCAAGAAACACAAAATGTGAACCAATTTTTGGACAAAAGTGAAGAGCATATAGTTTTACAAAAGTCAACAAATGAAGGTACAGAAAATAACCGTCCAAGAGTAAATACTGTGGAAGAACAAATAGATAAAATGTACCTTGATATTTTGAAGAAAAAAAAATCTATTGGTCCTTGATTATTACCCTAGGATGACAAAATACATAAGGTAAGTGTTTATAGTTTATATTGATTTGACATATTGATAAATGAAGTTACATAAATACTGCTGATAGGTATGCACTTCATGAGCCAGCTGGACTGATTACAGACTAACCTCCATGTGGATCCTGGGTATCTGTGAGCAGTATCTGTTACAACACCCTGTCCCCCCAGATTTTAAAATGCATTAGCTTTCTCTTAGAAGCCATTCTTTACATTTTTTATTTTTTAAATAAACATAGTCCAGAATTTGACTAGCATAAGAAAATTAAGTTTATTCTAGTACTTTTTATTCAATCTTAACAGTAGTCTGTGTTATACCAAAGGAGGTGAGTTGGCTTTTCATATAAATGCTGTTAGCGACTGTTGAGAAACTTCCACATCTCTGCTCCTTGTTTCTGTGTTCTTGATTTATTCTGATTTATAGTCTCCATGACTCCAGTATTTCATTTTTATTTTATGGTTTTGATTAATGTATTCACCATAAACTAATCATAAACTATCTCTAGTTCCTTGTGGAATAAGGCAGGGTGCTGATCAGTTTTTACCTTGAGAAATCTGGAGAAAAAAGATAAGATTTTAAGTCTTTTCAACTGTGCTCTTCCCCACTCTCCTCCATGTTCATTCTTGTAATTACATGTCTTGCTCTCTGGCAAGCCTACTTTGTTTTATTATTTTGATTTGTTTTTTACTACTGACTTTGAAGATGTGCTTAAGAATACTAAATTTCTGATGAATTAGGCTTGGAGAACTCTAATGTCATGACTTGCCTTCTACAAACCGTGTTCTTCAGTAATCATGATGGTTTTGCCTTCTGTTAAATCGTATTTACAACTGTCACTAACGTTTATTTAAGTACTAAAGAGTTTATACTTGTGCACAGACTTTTAGATCTTGACTGAGTTCTGGAGAAGAAGAGTCTGGGATTGGTACACAGATACCACACAGGAAAGCCAGAAGTGTCCCTCCTTTATTTAAAAGAGAACCCAGAGTGGATTGTATGCATCAGTGAGAAGCTCAGGCTATGGCAAACCCAGTTCACCATTCAAGACATTTTCTACTCTTGAAAATAAAACTTCAAAGGATATTATGAAAAGCAAAAACTTGAGATCCATCCCTGCCTCAAATCAAGCTAGGAAAAAAGGTAATTATATGCACTTTTCATAATAAAATTCTGTACATATAATGTATTATTTCATTTTCCTTATTCTCTACTTTCCCTATTTCTTTCTTTCCTTCTGTGAAGTTTCCTTATTTGTAGAAGAAATTAATATTAAGGTGCTACATTCCATTTCTGAAAGACACATTCAGTTTAGTTCAGAGGGTTTTTCTGTGGGAACCCATGATTGGGTTAACAAATTGTAGCAGACCCCAGCCACCTGTCACTTTTAAGAAGAACAAATGTGCATAGAAACTGCTTTGCAAGCACATGCCTGTGTGTCTGCACTCCTGTCTCCTTGCGTAAAAAGCGGAGACAATGCCTTGCTTGCATATTTGAGGTTTTAAACAGCACTCTGCTCACATGACCCAGGACCTCAGCTACAAACACTGGGCATGTCTGCTGTTAGATAGTCTGTTACCCCCAATACAAGGAACTGGCTGGTCTGGTGGTCTGCTCTGTAATTAACATATCTATCTAAAGAATGTATCTTGTTCCTCTCTCCCCATGACTTCCCTAAAGATAAACAAAGCCTTTGTACTCATTGTGGATTCTACAATCTTGAACCCATCTTTTCTTTCCCTAAATTCCTGCATTTCATCACACAACTGTTAATGATTTTTCCTTTGATTGTACACAATAAATGTGGGAGCATTTGAGAGGCTCATGGAGTTGGCTCCAGACTCCCTTTCACTCTCTTGACTTTTTCAACAGTCTCGAATAATTCATTCCATCTCCGTGGGACTTCTGCTGGCCAGAACCCTCATTTTTCATAATTAGTTCTAGGTTTTCCTGAATGAGACCCAGAAAGAATGGGAAGTGAATATAAGATAAGAGAGTCAAACCCCTCCTCATCTAGTTGGATTTGTAATATCCAAAATGTTTGCCAGAAAACAGCCATAAGTTCAGAATGCAAAGGGCAACGTACAAATGAAGGTGGATACAGAGAGAAATATCTGGATGTGAATTCGGTCTAGTATTGGGGAATCCAGATGTTTTATCAGTCACCTGCTTGCATTTATACATCCCAGTGCCTCTCTGAGTTATTTCCTGAAGGAATCATCCATCTTGGTGGGAGGAAAGGGTGGTTTCCCACATAGGACCCCACACCACTATTAATAGGAATAGAAACCCTCAAGTCAGACCGGCTTTCCTGCTGCCTTTAGACTCCGACGGGGCAGGAGGGCAGTAGAGCCAGAAGCGCTTTGTGCTTTCTGTTGTGGTTCAGCTGAATAGGTGACCAAGGCCATCACTGCTGCCTGCTGTGATGGAGGAGAGCTAGCCTCACTGGGAAACTCACTTCCAGCTTAAAGTGCCTCCCCTGCCTTTCCTTGTAGCGATCCACCCCAGGACCACTTGGACTCTATTAAAGTTTGTCCAGCATTAAAGTCTCCCCTCTTCTGTCTGTGTGGCTGTGCGTCCGCTGCAGCAGCCTGTGCATGTCAGATGTAAATCTCGTCTCTGTCCATGAGCAGGAGAGCAGCAGGAGGGTGGCTGTTCTGTACACACAGGAATCAGATTCTTCTGTTGGCTTAATGCAGCATCCTTCCCTCCTGTTCTTAATGTGAGGACCTCAGATCCCTTCCTCTAAGAGGCGCCTTGTGTTCTCTTACTGTTACGGAAACGACAGGCCAGTCAAGAAACAAGCACCACTCGGAGGGTTGGAGTACTCAGATGTATTACACCGGCGGACTCAGAGGGGCTTCTGCTCTGAATCTCTGAGCTCCTCTAAGATGTGCACATGAGGTTTTATAGGGTAAAGTACAAGCTTGGGTTATTAGGCCAATAGTCATGGAACAGCTTTAGCAGCAGCATCATCACAAAAGTGGAGGTGGGGAGGCAGCAAACCAACATTCCAAAGCCAGATATGTATCTTTGAAAATCCAGCTGGCTAGCAAAAATACATGAACAGCAAACCAACACTAATTAACCTAGATTTACAAGTTATTCTAGCAGAACTTAGATCAATCTGTATTCCAATACTTAGATTTGTGTTATCTTGTTAGCCCAGCCCAGCCTCTCCTTCACATTCCTAGACCTATGAGTTATCTTGTTAGACCAGCCCTGCTTTTCCTTCAAATTACTTTCTCTTCCTTTTCTGTGGACCACCTGCTTATGCTGCTGTCATCTATTCATTGTTGTTAATAACTAACCCTCCACTGGATCTAGTGCTTAATGTTATGAAAAACACTCAGAATATTTCCCAAATTTTAGAATCATCATGAGGAGTGTGGAGGTTTTTCATTAATGTTTTAGGAGTATTCATCCTGTCTTTACCTCTGAGAGCAAAATAATGAAAATTTTTTTAACATTATTTATTCTATTATATTTATTTTAGATAAACTAACCCCCAACATTTCTGGTTTACTTTATCCAAATTCACTCATATAACAAGTGTTTTTGGACACTGACTTGGGTCTAGGCTCTGTTGGATGCCCTCCAGGTACATTGGTAAACAAGGCACTGCCACCTCCCCTCCCCCATCTTGTCGAGCTGTCATCTGATGAGGAGGGACAGACACTTAACAATGAGCATACAAATCAGTAAATGATGTTACATGCTAAGGAGAAATAGAAAGCAGAGCAAGAGAGTCAGTGGAGTCCAGCAGGTCACCATTTGAAATAAGATGGGGTCGGCCTTGATGAGAGAGCCCTTTGAACAAAGACTTGTAGGAGGAATTGGAATTGGCTGTGTGGATGTGTGGGGGAAGCATATTCCAGAAAAATGAAAGTCAGTGCAGAAGTCCCGAAGAGGGAGGAATACCTGGCATTTTGGGGGTCAGCATAGAAGCCCACATGGCTGGGATAGAGTGGGCGGGGGGGAGGTGAGATCAGGGCATCACAGGAACAGGCACAGTCAGCTTTTCTAGGGCATTAAGCAGCCTTGGGCTCTCACTCTCAGTGTGGAAAGGTGAGCCACTGGAAAGTGTTGAGCATGGGAGTGACTTTACCTGATGCATCCTTTAGACAGATTCCTTGGTCTGATGCCATTGACCATATGCACACAAATATAGACCCACACAATAGGGGCACAGGAAGAAGCACAGAGACCAGTTAAAAGGAGGTTTGAGGAATCCGGGCTGGGAGTGATGGGGCCCAATCCAGGGTGGTGGCAGTGGTGGTAAGGAGAAGCAGTTGGATGGGGAGGTATTTAGAAGATAGAGTTGAAAGTCTAAAAGATTGGTTTGGGGTTGTGAGAGGCGTCATGGGTGATGGCAGGTTATGTGGCTTGAGCAGCTGGAAGAATGCAGTTCCTCTCCAGCTGGGATGTGGGGGGAGGCAGAGTGGGCTTGAGGGTGGAGAGAAGACCAGGAGTTGAGCTGCTGAGATGCTAATTTTGAGATGCCTGTTCTGTGTGCAAGTGGAGATGACAAGGAGGCAGTTAGATGGGAGAGTCTAGGGCTCAGAGTGAGGTGTGGACTGTAGGTATCAAGTGTTGTTAAAAATGAATATTTTTGAAGCCATGGGTTTTTTTTTTTTAATTGAAGTGTAATGGATTTACAGTA